AAATTAATATGAATAAATAATCACATTATCAAGCATTAGCAGAAAACTCAAAGATTAAAGTTTACAGATGGGTCAAAAAGAATGCAAGATTGGATATTTTGTAGATACGAGTTCTTAAGAGATATAATTGGTTCAAATTTAAATACTAAATCTTAAGCTGAACAAATAAATACACTATTGTATTCAATAAAGAAAATATAAAGAAGGCATAAATTATTTTAAAGTTCTAATACCTCTTAATAAATACCTCAATGTAAGAACAAATGAAAATCTTGAAAGGGCAAAACTTAACTGAAGAGTTTAGCATTCAGGGAAGCGGTAGATAATTTCTTTCATGATCACTACAGATTTGTGGAAAACTCTCACTAGGGAGCTTTGAAATCAGGATTCATAAGGAACAGGATTGTTGTTGGAATTATTGATGGATCTTTGTCAGGTTTATTATAGTCCAAAGAATCTATTTTGGACTGGAAAAGGATAGGTCAGAGCACTTTCTAGATGGTATGAGGTTAAATATGATGGATGTCCAAAGAGATTAGTGGGTTCAGGTGCACAGATCTTTAAAACACCATGAACAGGTGCAGAAAATAATCAAGAAAGCCAATGGATTTCTGGCCTACAAATACAAGACTGGAATATAAGGATGTAGAAATTTGCTGCAATTATAGAAAACCTCCTTACATCCCTCTTGGAGTACTGTGAGCTGATGTGGACACCACACCTCAGGCAGGATATATTGGCCTTGCAGCGACTACAAAGTTGGTTTACAAGAATGACACCTGGCCTTCAGGAGTTAAGTAATATGGAGAGATTATACTAATTAGGCCTGTTTTCTCTAGTATTTAGAAAGGGGTGATATGATCAAAGTCTTCAAGATATTAACAGGAAAGGACAGGGTAGATAATGATAAACTATATCCGCTGGTTAGAGATTCTAGAACTTGGGTATTGTCCGAGAATTAGGGCCAGACTGTTGAGGAAAGATATTAAGATTTTAGCAAAGATTTGTAGCTCAGGTTGTGGGTGAGGTTGTTGACTTGTTCGCCAAGCTGGCTTGATTTCGTTCAGACATTTCATCACCATGCTAGGTAACTCATCAATGAGGCCTCCGATGAAGCAATGTTGTTCTATTCCACTTGGAATTTACACTGTCCAGTGCATTATGATGAGTAGTGTCATTTCCAGTTTTGTTCTGTATGGGTTTGAATATGGGGTCCAATTCTATATGTTTGTTGATTGCATTATGGGTTGAGAACCATGTCTCTAGGAATTCCTGTGCATGTCTACGTTTGGCTTGGGCTACTATGGTTACATTGTCCCAGTTAAACTGATGGCCTTCGTCGTCTGAGTGTACTGATAGTAAGGAAAGTTCATCGTGTTGTTTTGCTGCTAGCTGATGTTTGTGTATTCTGATGGCTAGTTTCCTTCCTGTCTGTCCAATGTAATGTTTGTGGCAGTTGTTGCATGATATTTTGTATATCACGTTGGTTCTGCACGTTGTGGGATTGGGGTCTTTAATCCTTGTGAGTGTTTTTCGTGGAGTGGCTGTGGGCTTGTACGCTACCATGATTCCTAGTGGTCATAGGAGTCTCATTGTCAGTTCTGACATGTTCTCGATGTAGGGCAGTGTGTCCAGTGTGTTAGGGCATTATAGACAACAACAAGAGGACACAGGACAAAGGCGGCATAGTGGCTCAGTGGTTTGCACTGCTGTCTCACAGCACCAGGGGCCAAGGTTCGATTCCACCCTTGTCAACTGTCTGTGTGGAGTTTGTGCATTCTCCCAGTGTCTGTGTGGGTTTCCGCTGAGTGCTCCGGTTTCCTCCCACGGTCCAAAGATGTGCAGGCTAGGTGGATTGGCCATGCTAAATTGCCCATAGTGTTCAGTAATGTGTAGATTAGGTGGGTTATAGCGGATGGGTCTGCGTGGGATGCTGCGAGAGTCGGTGTGGACTTGGGCTGAAGGGCCTGTTTCCATACGGTAGGGAGTTTAAGTCATCAACTGACAACGAGACTCCTAATGACCACTAGGAATTATGGTAGCACACAAGCCCACAGCCACTCCACAACAAACACTCACAAGGATTAAAGACCCCATTCCCACAACATGCAGAACCAACGTAATTTACAAAACACCATGCAACAACCACCACAAACATTACATCGGACAGACAGGAAGGAAACTAGGCATCAGAATACATGAACATCAGCTAGCAGCAAAACAACACAATGAACTTTCCTTAATATCAGTACCCTCGGACAATGAAGGCCATCAATTTAACTGGGACAACGTAATCATAGTAGCCCAAGCCAAACGTAGACATGCACAGGAATTCCTAGAGACATGGTTCTCAACCATAACGCAATCAACAAACGTATAGAATTGGACCCCATATACAAAGCCATACAGAACAAAACCAGAAATGACACTGCTCAACATAAGGGACCAGACAGTATAAATTCCAAGTGGAATAGAACAACATCGCTTCATCGGAGGCCTCACTGATGATGTTACCTAGCATGGTGACAAAACCTCTGAATGAAAACAAGCTGGCTCAGCGCGCAAGTCAATAACCTCAAAGATATTAAGAAACACATCTTTATTCAATGGGTGGTAGATGTTTGGAAGCTTCTTCGACAAACGACAGTGGATGCTAGATCAGTTTTTCATTTTAAATCTTAGAAAGATAAATTTTTGATAAGCAAGTGTTCGGGGGATATAGGCCAAAACAGGTATACAGAGTTAGGCCATTCAGCTATGATCTCATTGAATGGCAGAACAAGCTCAAGGGACTGAATGACCTACTCCTGTTCCTAATATTTAACATTAGAAAAGTCATTCAAATGAATGGAACTAGAAACCAGGATAAACACTTAAATCCTGAGAGATTTATTCTCCACGAGAAAAACAAAACTTGCAAAGATGGTTGGTAACTTAATTCAGGATGACTGCTGGGAGATTTAATACAGGTAGTTTTGGGCGTGTGCCAACAAGGTGAATGAAGCTCCAGCAGGTTTACCTGGAGTGAATGAAATAAGAGACTTGCCATTTGCTCCCACCTTCAATACTGAAGTGGCATCTTAGATGATATGTTCAAATATCTGAAGTAGAGTTTGAACTAACCATCTTTTGACTCAGAGGAAAATATTTGCCACAGACTAATTGCTGGCTTTGATAAATGAAAGAAATACAAATAAATGTCACAAAAATATTCACAATGATAAAAATGTTAAGTTGAACACACTTTGGTGGCTAACTTTGGTCATCATCCAGCATTCAATGTTAAATCTGCTGTATCAATTTGTCCTGTGTGCTGTTTTGTGTCTGAACAACTACAGTTAAAAGATTCATCACTGAGCTCAAGTGAGTTGTATGGCTCATTTTGGTTCACAGTATTTGCTTCTTCTGGAAATCTTCGTCGATGGTTGTCTTCTGAAGGTTCTTTGATTATGAAAAGAATAGAAAACACTTCTATCACTCCTGTCAAATTGCAGACTGCCTTCTTGCTGGCAGAATGAAACAATTCTCTTATGCCAACACAGACTCTATCAAGATTGCCTTTCTTCTTTAACATCCCATCATGAGACTAGAAAGCCCAATGAAATCTTCTCTGGTTGCCCATTTACCTGTTGGTAAACAATGGTTTGTTCACAGACCAGTTGATCTCATGTACTTGATTTCATTCGTCGAACTCCTTCAGCTATGCCAAGAATGTTGAGGTGAAGAATTGCCTGCAAGCTCCAACAGAGAGAGGTTAATTGTGAATTACAGAGATGTTGTATTACTTGTATCATACCCTTATTTTTGAGAGATTTTCCCCTGAAGCATGTACTTTCCCTGTAGGCTGTATCCTACAGTTTAGCTACATCTTCCAGCAGAGATCCTAAACTAAGTTGCCAGTCATCTCTTCCTTGCAGCGAGGGAGTCAGTGTGAAAGAATATAAAACACATAATCTATAATGGACTTAAAAATCAACATGAGCAGAACAGTGCAGTCCTGATTCATACAAAATCACAGAACTGGAAAAGCATTCAGGAGCCTGAAATGTGGCAAAGCAACATGATATGACAACATTGCACCAGAATTCCTGTGCCTGCTGACTCAACTCAATTCAATTCATGAATGAGTCGGGTATGGGAAAGATCATTCCGCAGAATGGAAAACATCTCAGATTGGGCAGCCAGTTATCAACCGACTTGTTGCGTGCTTTAAGATCAAAAACATCTTTGATGTTGATTCTGTTTCTGCAGCGCGTGTCCAACTTTGCACATTCACCAACCACATGGAAAATGTCTTCCAAAGAACGTGAAGTCAGGCATAAGTGCTGCTGGACCGCACAGTTGCCCATAATACAGTGTAGCACACTGCTCTTAAAGCTGTCCAGAGTGTTTCCAACGTGGGTAATTTCCTTCGCAATAGACAATTTAGAGGAGAAGTGCATGTGGAACACTGGCCAATGGGCTACTATAGGATAAGGTGGTATGTATGTTGAAGATAGGAGTTGGATGGGTAAAGGAATAAAGGATGGAGATGGAGCCCACCTTTTCCAATCTACCATCAGTTCTGAGGAAGGCTCAGGGCTCTCTGGACCCAGAACATTAACTCTGCTTTCGCTCTGCCAGACCTGCTGACTTTCTCCAGTAACTTCAGATTCCCAGCATCCGCAGGTCTTCGTTTTATTTCGTGTTTTGACGCTGTTTGACCGACATCAGACGTCTCGGTGTTAGGCAACCACGGAGAAGTTCCCAACGGTCTCATGAGACAACAAGATGCAGGGCTGGATGCTTGTTGTCTCGGATTCTCCAGCATCTGCAGTTCCTACTATCTCTGATTCAATCTCTTCCAACGGTCTCATGCCTAGGGAGCGCGCACGCCGTGCCCACGTGGCTTGAGGGAGACCGTGCGTGCGCCATGACGCAATCCCGTTCAGCGGTGTCTCTGGCACGGAGGGGGGCGGGGGGGAAAAGGGGGGTTTCCATCATGGCGTCAATGCAGGTGAGTGCCTGATGTGTTCGGCGGCGCTTTAGCGGACGCCTTCTCTTCTTCCTGCCGGGGTGGCCGTGTCGGCTTCTACCCGCAGTCGAGGGAAGAGCCGGTCCTACGACCTCTCGGTATCTGCATCCCGTCTTTTCAGCGGGGCTTGCCTGGGTTGGAGGGTGGGGGGGAGCGGATAAGCGAGGAAGCCGAGTGGAGCGGCCCGCGGTTGTTTGTGTACGTTTTCACAAATGTGCGGCTTCTTGAAACCGCGGCGGTGAAAAGTGCAGAGGGTTGTGGGCGGACTCCTAACGGAGCGGGATGTCGACCCGTGAGCCCTGGGTGGTGGTTGGGGTGAGTTGGGCTCCATCTCTCCGCCTGTCCCTTGTTTCTTTCCATCCAGGTGATGGCAGCAGCATCGCGCCCTGTGAAGGTTACAGGTGCCAGCGACACCTGTCGAGGCCCACCACAGGAACAGCAATGGGCTCGAGTCACTTCTGCTATCAGCAGTCGTTATACGACTTGAGTTGGGCTTCTTCAATTTCAGGACCTTTAACTTTGCTCCTCTTTCCCACTTTCTCATCCCGATGTGTGCTTATCCTGTCGGGGATCAAGCCTGACCACTTGTGTAAATGCACAGTATGTGGACTAACACCTCGTTTGTGTACGCACCCTCCGTAGTAAAACTTGCATCAGTTCAGAAAATAAAGGCCGTCCATTTTAATTAGTAGTTATCCACATCTTGAAAAGTGTGATTGACCGAGTTACTGCACTTTTTCTCGTGCACGATATAGTGCATATATATGTAAAACTGTCAAGCTTGCACTAGCCCAGCAATTGTACTGATTAGCTGAGTTTGTGAAGGAAATAACTACAGTATTAATTTAGGAAGGTATGAAACTAGGCAAAAATTTTACACAACTGCATTCAAATATGTTAATTTTAAAGTGAAAATCAATTGGAAGCAAACCTTCACAGAATTGGGGATAATTATAATTTGAATAATTATACCCCGGTTTGCCTAATATTACAGTAACTCATTTTTTTCTAACTGTCCTATTTTCTCTAATAGAAAAGGTTACAGAAGGAGCTAATGGCTTTGCAAAATGACCCACCCCCAGGAATGACTTTAAATGAGAAGAGTGTACAAAATTCAATAACGCAGTATGTACTTTAATATTTTAATGTTAATTTTAAAATGTGAAAAGCAGGTATAAGGCAGGTAGAGTTTTTAAAATTATTGGCAGTTTTACTAGAGTTAAAGATTATTTTCTAGTATCATTGCTATGTAGTTATCAGGATATGGACAGGATTTGTGCGGTCTGTTAAACAACTTGTATTGCATTGTTTCTGAGAAGGGGTATTTCAGGTTACAAAATGATCGCTGGACTAATCATGTTTTGTAAATAAGTTGAATTAGTATGATTGTACAGTGTGTATATTTTAATGGAATTTGCTGGATGTTTATCGAGTGAAACAGTTTTTTAAAGGTTTATATAAATAATAGAAGTATAACAGCTCAAAAGCTAAGTTTACAATAATAACTTGTTTTAAGAATGTTAGTTTTGAATAAATTACTGGAAATTTGAGGACAGTACAAAAACATTGTGGATTTTGTCAGAATCTATAGTACTATGTGATGTGACTGACACCTAAGTAGTTTTAACGTGGTGATTGTTTACTGAATTGGTTATATACTGTCAGTGTTTGTGCAGTATAACTAACATTGTCTCATATCCTATGGTATACACATTGCGTGTGTTTACCTTGACTTAGGGAGTTAACAATGTCTGACTATTAATAGCAGTAACTCTGAAATGTTTTTGTTCTTAATATTTGTACGTACCTTCATTGTTTAATTTTTCACAGTATCAAATAGTTTTGAACTGTATATAATCAGTGTAATAAATCGTAAAGTCTCTGCACGTATGAACACACTTATTCTACCTGGTGCCTCTGACTTCTGACCAGTTTCAGTTTCATATTTGCTGTATGTAATGAGTTGAATTTGTTAGTGAAATATCATAGAGTGATGCAATGGAGTTATTTGTTTCTTAAAAAAAAACTTGATTTGCAAGAAGATTAGTCCTATAAATGATCGCTTGCAATATGTAACATTGTGCAGGTTTATAGAATGTTTCCGGCATTTAACTCAGTTAATTCACAACAAAAGGAATTGAGTCCAAAATCTTGTTTATTAAGAAACTTTGTAGAAGTATAGTGCATACATTTAATCTGAATGTTTAGATCTTGTTCTGTTGGAGATAGGTGACATTGGCTCAATAGTAAACACCAAGCTCCATTTTTAGTTAAATTTATTAGCAAATAATTTCTATATTTGAACCAATTATATTTCCGCAGTATACGATGTTATCATATTACAACTAATCAAGAATCTGCAACCGCTATTACAGTGACTCAGTGGTTAGCACTGCCACCTCACAGCGCCAGGGACCCAGGTTCAATTCCACCCTTGGGTGACTGTCTGTGTGGAGTTTGCATATCCTCTAAATGTTTGCGTGTGTTTCCTCTGGGTGCTCCGGTTTCCTTCCACAGTTGAAAAATGTGCAGGTCAGATGGATTGGCCATGCTAAATTGCCCATTGTGACCAGAGAGGTACAGGCTAGGTGGATTAGCCAATGGAAAATGCTCGTTTACAGGGATAGGGTAGAGAGGGTGGGTTGAGGTGGGATGCTCTTTGAGGGTCGGTGTGGCCTGCTTCTGCACTGTAGGGATTCTATGATTCTGTGATATTTAATGATCTAGTTAGCGTAAACAGCCCTTTGCAATAAAGAATTCCCCTGTTTCACAACCCTCTGATAAAAGAAATGTGCAAGCCCTTATTCTTGGGATTATGCCCTTTGGTTCTGGACACTCTCACAAAAGGGTAACAATTTTCCTTATCTACCCTGTCAAATCCACTAAATCTTGTATGTTTTGATGATATATCCTCAGTTGCCAGAAAACTTAAGTGAAATCAGATGAAAAGTACTCATTTTAGTGCCTGAGCCAAACCTTCTGACTCCACAAAATCTTCTTCCTTTTGGTTCTTTATTCACTCTGCCCCTACAGAAGACTTTTTAGCTGCCAGACTATTTATATGCGCTCTGTATTCTTTTAGTTCCTTTTTCAGTTCTCACTGTACTGTCTGCATTCAGTTTGGTTCTCCTATGAATTATGAGCCTAATAATTAATTTGAATTAGTACAAAATGTCTTGATTTTAACTCTCTTTTAACGTTTTATCATCTTGATTAATCTACAAAGTATGACTTCTAAGGCAGATGCATCTTTCCCGAAGTTTGCCAACAGTCCATTTGTCATTTTGATTTTTTCTTGTGCTGTGAGTGGGCTTTTCATAATTTGTGTACGTGTACACCCAAATCGCTTGGTTCCTTAACAGCTCCTAATCTCTCTCTGTTTTTAAATATTCTGTTTCTTTTTCAGACCTAAGGAGGTCATAAACTCATACAGCATGGAAACAGATCCTTTGGTCCAATTAGTCCATGCTGACCCAAACTAGACTAATCCCACTTGCCTGTGTTTGGCCCATATCCCTCCAAACCTTTCCTATTCATGTATTTATCCAAATATCTTTAAAATGTTTTAACTGTACCTGCATCCACCACTTCCTCTGACAGTTCATTCCACATACAAAACAATATCTGTGTAAAAGAAGTTGCCCCTCGTGTCCTTTTTAAATCTTTCTGCTCTCACCATAAAATATGCCCCTAGTTTTGAACTTGCCCCATACTATTCACCTTATCTATGCCCCTCATGATTTTACTAACCTCTATAAGGTCACCCCTCAACCTCCTACGCTTAAGTGAAAAACGTCCCAGTCTATTTTCCTAACTCAAACCCTTCATTTCTGGCAACATCCTGGAAAATCTTTTCTGAACCCTCTCCAGTTTAATCATATCCTTTCTATAGCAGGGCAGTCAGAACTGTGCACAGTTTTCCTAAAGGGGTCTCACCAACGTTCTGTCTAAGGAGGTGGAGTGGAATCAGGGCTGCACTTTACTTACTATACAGGGAGCCCCTGACTAAAGGCTATTTCCCTTGATTTCACCGGGTTCTGCTGACAACCATGCCAATCCTCCTAGCATTGTGTCCATACTAAATGGCATGGTAACACATCAGCACTGAGAGCCTGATATCTCTGGCTGAGGGGCAAAGTGCAAAAAGGCAAGGCATAGATACTGTGAGCATTCAGGTCAGTTCAAAGTGAGTGAGAAAGCAAGTGAACAGGCTAGAGATGCAGCGTGATCCGGTCCATGAGCTGGGCATGGGCCCCTGAGAGTAAATGTTCTGTGCTGCTGCAGTACAATGATAGCTACCATGCTCCCTGAGGTTCAGCATTGAAGTGTAGAAATTTACTGTTAGTAGATCAGAGAAGTGCTGTGAGATTTCTTAGCTGGCCTATAACAGATGCCAATGTCTGAGGATATGGTGTACATGTGGTCGTGTCCATGGAACGCACCCTGACATGCTGGTTTCTGATGTCCAACAAGAAAGTCCATCAGAGCAAGCTGAAATCAACAGGGACCCCCTCTAACTTCTATGTAGAGAATTATTTGGGCTTCTTGCCTTTATTAGTGAAGGCATTGAATAAAAAAGGAAGGAGGTTATGATGGATCTGTATACGGCATTAGTTAGCTCGCAGCTGGTGTACTACGTACAGTTCTGGTTGCCACACTATAGAAAGGATGTGTTTGCCATAAAGGGGGTCGAGTAGAGATTCACCAGTATGTTGTCTGGGTTGGAGTGCTTCATCCTCCAGCAGCTGTTCAGGAGAGAGATGATTTTACTTGGTTGGGCAGGGAGTTTGTGGTGAGAACCAAAGACAATAATTTGATTTTTTTCAATGCATAGTGGAAGAAATTTCCTCCTCAACTACTATCCTTCTTTTCAACTAAGCTTTTGGGATTATACCATGGCTTGGGTTCTACTACTTTATTCATATTGTTATCATTGTAATACTTTGTTTCGCCCTCATCCATAGGATCTTGGGACTTAATCCATGTTCTGAGTGTCATATCTATGCAGACATTTGCTTCAGATTTAATTGTCGTAAAGTATTTAATGTTCTCATGACCCTTGTGAACTTCAATGATCTTTAGGCTAATAATTTGTCAATAATTCATCACTGAGCACACAGCTAATGAAAATAATCGTTGACTATTGAGAGGTTTTTAAATCTTTTCAAAATCTTGGAAATCTCAGTCAGACAAACTTGGCTTGTTTCCACTGAAGTTTGGAAGTTCAATCACTTGATTGAAATTTACAAGATCCTGATTGGTCTTGACAAGGTAGGTGTGGAAAATGTGTTTCTGCTTGTGGGGGAGAGTCCATAACTAAAAATTAAGGGTTGCCATTTAGGACAGATGTGGGAGTTGCGTGACTGCAGAATTTCCTGCTCAAAAGGCAATGGAGGTGGCATCATCAAATTCTTTTAAGGTGAATATAGATTCTGGTAAGGCAAGGGAATCAACAGTTATTAGGGTAAATGAGAAAATTGAATTCAAATTGTAGAAATATCAACCATGGGATTTTATTAAATGACAAAACAGACTCAGTGGGTGGAGTGGCTGATTTCTAGTTCATACATATGTAACTTATTGACATTCTATGCTTCAGTAGAAAAATATTCATTTTTACACCTGTGGTCCTTACTATAAACCATCTATTCTAGTTTGATCATTGTGATGTTTCACATGGCTGTTAAAGCCTTTCCATGACAGGGTGTCCAGAACAGTGTGAATAATGTAATGATGACCTAATCAGTACAGCGTTATTTCTAGCTCTGTCGCAATATATATCACAAAACCCTTTTTACTAATCTGTATTAATATTTTGCTAGATTTCTTTGTCCTTTCTGCCTGAGTTTTATAGATTGCGTTATAGAGTGGCTGATTTTGTTCTGTCTTCTCCACCTATATACGTACATACATACAAAAATGCACACTCAATCCCCGCAATGACTTCTGCCTAATTTGAATTGTAACATCTACTACCCTGTGCATTTGTCCTCTCAAATCACCATGTCCTGCAGATTGATATTATCAGCAAAGCTGCTATTTTTCTTGTGCCTGTGTTCAATTCACATAATTGGACTTTCTTGTCAGTTGCCTTGCGTATGTCTGATTACATAGCCTGTAGAGCC